CTTTCTCTTTTTCTGGTTCTGAGACTTTAACTTCTCCATCTTCACCAAGTTTAACGTCTAGATCGATAATGTCATCATCATCGACTTTCTTATCAGTTTTAACATCCTCAGCTCCTTGCTTCTCCAAATCTTCCAATTTTCTCTTTGCTTCTAATTCCGCATCTCGGAATTTAAAATATGTCTCATTGGCAAATTTCTCTGCTGTTTCGACATCATCAGTGATCAATATATTATCAAATATAGTGCCAGATCTCACTTGCCACAAATCGAATCCGATAAATGCGGTATTATAAGCATGAAGATTTGGTTCTGGGACATAATCGGGATTTGGAATCATAGGTGCTTTCCATTCTCCTTTATACTTTGGATTAGGAATCTTCTTTGGTTGCCATTCTCCTTTGTAGGCAGGATTAGAAATATGTGGTGGCTCCCAGTCTCCATCCATATCATCTTAATAAAAAAAAATTACTTTTAATTAATGCTTGAAAATTTTTACACTGATGAGTTTTATTTCTAAATATAAAAAATATTTACCATCCCAGTCTTCAGGCTTTTTAGCATCGGGATCTGGAATTGTGGCTGGGTGGTCTACCCAATCTTCCGGTTTACGATCATCTGGATCAATGATCTCGGCTAAATCTTCCCAATCATCTGGTTTTTTAGCGGTTTGATCTGCAATTTCTCTGGGTGGAAGCAAATCAAAATCGTCCTCTAAAGTTCCAGACGCTGCTTCTTCATTATCAATTAGGATTTTGAACGTCTATTAAAGAAATTTTTCTTCAGTTACACGAATTTTACACGAATTTTAGCTAACGAAATAATGTTTATAACATTACATGATTAGGCTTTAATATCAAAGTGTATAAATGTGTTACTTGATCCGATGGGCACTTTATTGACTTTTTCATTTCTTTGTTTTCTCCCTTACGATTAAAAATTAAGTGAACTTTACGGTTCATACCACAAATATCAGGCTATTAACAAATTTTTTTTTTTGTAATAGCACGTGAATAAAATAATATCACATGATTAGCCAGTTTAGTTAGATGATTTGCCCAATAAAATGGATCCAAGTCTCAATCTTACCCCGAACATGATATTGTATAATGAATCTCCTTTGAAACTCAGCGCATCAAATCCGGGGGGAAGAAGCTAAACGTGACATTAAGAAAATCACGTAAAGGGTTAGTTAATATGTTGATCTATTTAAAAATGACACGCATTTCATCAAAATGCTTACTTTTACATAACCTCCTCCGCAGTCGATATTTTGTTCATGTTTGACAGAGAATTGAACCACTATATAAATAATCATTAGTTTAATATTATTAATTGTTAAGTTTCTGAATCAAAATTATAAAATTTATACCTAAATCCTTATCAGTATTATCAATTATCTTATCAAATTTCGTGGAAACTGCATAAAATTTTGCGTCTTCTGAAGTTTGAAGGCCACGAGATTCAATTTTATCGGCGTAAAACTCTCCAGCTGTTACTATAAACTTGCCAAGGTCTTCCTTATGCTTGGAATGGACCCATCGCTAGTTAAATTATAAAATTATTAAGGAAATAATTTAATAAGTGTTAGTCAAGTATATTTAATAAGTTCATCACCTTTATTTATACCTTTTCCCAGTCATTGTCGGAAAACGTTTCCTTTAAGTATATATCAGCTGAAGTGAGAGTGGACAAAGTAAGAAGACCTAGGACGAAAAAAATGGCAGATCGCCTCATTTTGACTATGTATGTATTAGGGGATAGTAAGTTCGAAGTTCGAAACCCAAATTTCGGTGGTCATTTTATTATCATTCGTAAAAACGTGTCAATAAATGAATGGTGCATCATTATGTTCTAAAAAATTCATACATAAACTCCGTTCGTCATCTCCGATAATTTGTTACACGGACTATAAATAGTTTAAAAAGCTTATAAAAAAAAAAAAATTAAACATCGCCTATGTTTTTTTATTCATTTCTTTAAGTATTATACGCTTTATATATATATATATATATATATATATATACATCTTTGAAACTTTTTAACTTTTTAATAATGTCTGAAGAAGATCTTGACATTGATAAATATCTTGCAACTGAAGCTACACAACTACAGAAAGATCAAGAAGT